AAAATGGCGTTTATCGCTTTTTGGAACCAAACTCTTCAAATATATAAATGTATATACATGTAAATATTTTAAATATATATACTGTATGTGTGCGTATTTATACATACATAATAAATATACAGAGTACACATACATATATATATTATGTAAACAAAAACTTTTATTTTGGATGCGATTAATCGCGATTAATCATTTGACAGCACTATTTTGAATACATTTTTCAGGGTTAACAAAGTCCATTTTAAACATTTCCTGATATATCCATTATGAGAAATGTAAAAAGAGCTTTCTAGACCACTGATATGACATAAGTCTTCACCTCATGTGACGATTATGTAATTTCCAACAAATGTCAAAACATTTATTAATTTCAATTATTTTCAAAACATTTCTTTCTTGAGTGTAAAACTATTGTCTATTATTTACAACTTGCAAGTAATTCAAATATAAAGAACCTTTGGTGAAGAATACACACCTCACAGATGCTGCAGTAGTGAGCAGGTTCGTCCTTGGTCCTTCCATGCCAAACTAGCTCTTTTCCAGCAGCTATAAGCGCCTCCCTCAACGTCTGACACTGCTTTAGTGTCCTCAACAAACAATACCTGAGGAGAAGGAACAGACCGTATTTAACACTTCCATTAATCTGCTTGAAATTTCAGTCACGCTAAACTTCATAATTTTGACCTCTCAAAGAATCACATTCATAAATGTGGTGCAGTAGACTCACTTGATCATCTCAAAGAGTTTGTGGTCTGACACTTTGATGTTCCTGGCCATGTTCCAAGAGAGGTGAATCATGGGAACGATGGATTTGACACACTGGAGTTTGTTCCACTCAAAGCGTTCCACAGCTAACTTGTACTGATGCGCTGAGGAAGAACAAATAAGAATTAAACGCTTTGAACAGTTAACAAATAGATTAACTACACTTTAACTTAAGGTTTAAGGCTATATCAAATATACTGATATTATGTTTCACTTTTATTATTATATTTTACTTTATAAGGCCGTAAAATATCACCTTCTTCAAAATTGATATGCATAACCGTTTAAAACCAAGTGAGCTGCCTACCAAGACAGCATTTTGTTGTTGTTTTATTCATGGCCTTTTAAAATTAAATATATGTATCCTTCTTTGATAAAATGATCTAAAAAAATTAAATAATTAACTTGCGGACTCTGGTCCGAATCCAGACTGCGAGATGCGTCCATGCGGACCGTGAAGGCTTTTGACATAATGAAATAAATAAATTGCATTTTCAAAATTTAGGAAAGTTGACGGGTCCTTAAAAAGTCTTAAATGGTACAAGAAAGTCTTAATTATGATTTCAGGAGGGGGACAGAAAGACAAGAATTGTGATTAGACTTCAAAAGGCTATTCATTGAATAAATATGAGCGTTGCACTTTCAAAGTCAGCTGCTGCGCTGCTTTGTGTACTGCCGTTCCGAAAGCGCCACCTGCTGGAAGAGAATGACTTTCCATTTTCAATCAGCCCGTCTGCTGTTGTCAAAGACCAATGTGAAAATCAACCTATGTTTTTAAGCAGCAAAAACAGAGTTGTAAATGTGAACTGGTGGATCGACAAGATAATGTATTATAAAAATGTAAACAATTAAGACTGTAAAATATATTTATATGTTATTTAATTAATAATACTTGATTGATAATAATTGTTTAAATTATAAGAATTGATACCTTTGACTCTTAAAGGCTGAAATGTGAAGTTCATCATTTTATAAAACCTTTTGTTTTTGTGAAAACCTGCATCTGAACTGTAAATCATGCTTTTTACAGTCATTTTAATAAAAAATTTTTTTGTGTGTTCAGGTCTTGAAAAGGTCTTTAAAAGTCTTGAATTTAAGCTTAAATATCCTGCAGATACCCTGGTCTGGCAAAAACCATAAACTGTTTTTATATACAATTGTCCGGACCTCGGCTGGTGAAGAGAGTTCATTACTGGCACCTCAAGCCGTTTTAGTTGAAGAACACTGGTCTAGAGTGTCCGTACGGTGTGCACATATTTTCTATCATATGCCCGTTTTGGCCCCTGGTGGTCCAATATCAGTAATAAGCAACTCAACATTTACCAGTGAGTGGTCCTACATTCCAGGCAATGTTGTTGCACCAGCCAATAGCCTGAACCCAATGCACAGTGCCTGTATTGAGCCAGACCAGATCACCTGGTCGCTGGATAAAGCGATACACTGGAACACTGGCCTCATACAAGTCCTCTAGATTTGGCCACCATGAGCCCATTAGGTAATTTATATTATTCCTGCATTAAGAGAATATGTCAGTCAGTAAGACATAGACTTACAAACAAGCTTAAATTCATATTTTACATTAAACTTATGGTAAAACATAAAAAATACGGTGTTTTAGCATAATTAAAGCATTTTTGATTGTGCTTACTTTTCACAGAAGTCATTTATGACACCCCAGTACGGCTCAGGAACAGCAAACCATTCACAATCTCCAGGGCCGATGTTAATGTTCACAGAGCAGAAGTTGTTATTTTCTTGATGACCTGAATGGAAAAAGAAATATTTTTGATTAACATCCCGACTTTCACGTAATTCTGTAATGTCTGTATTTGAGAAATGTCTCGGTAAAGCACAGCGAGATGTGCATGTGCTTGCGTGCCAATGAGCTGACCTGGCGTCCTGCTGCCTGGGACCTTCATATAGAGCTGGACTGTGTTCATGCCGAGAATGGTGTGGCCCACATGACTGAGCAGATTCCCTGCAGACACCACCCGCACGAAGGCAGGTAGCTTACTCAACTCAGCCAGCTGCAGCTTCCACCTGCAAGACCACAGGGAGAAGAGGTCAGATGCAGCGACCTAACATGTCTCCTGTTCCATCATAACTCTAGGAGTCTGTCTAAACACTGCAAGACATCTGAAAAGGCCCATTTAACACTCGCAATCCTCCTTCAGACTTCAATTAAACTCTCTAGAGCATCTTGATGAAGCACTAAACCACATGAGGCATGCATTAAAGTGATTTTATTACTGTTAAAGGTTATTAAGCACAACATGAAGCTGAGTGCCTTTTCACCATGGTAAAAAACATTTCATGAACTCAAGTGGCTTACTGTTTTTATAAAGGACATTTGACCATTAAAGAAACAAGTGTTTAAAATATTACAGTTATTTCAGATTCTGCAAGGAGACTATTATCCTAGAATTCATCAAATTGATCAAGAATTACTGTAAAGACATTTGTTACAAATTATTGTAACTAATTCTATTATAAATAAATGACAAAAAACAATTTACAATAAATAAATGTGTAATCAATACTACAGAAACCGAAAACAGCACTGTAGCTGTTCCACACTTCTTGAAGCTGCAATCATTTTCTACTAAGAAATATTTCTCATATTTACCAAGAAAAGTAATAAGAACCTTTCTAAATGACAAAATTAGCACATTAGGAAGCTCTATTCAACACTCCAGTCTACTACCACAGCTATAATGTTCAATTTTAAAAAGTCTAAAAATAGAAAAAGCCTATTTTAACTTTTGTGCTGAAAATCCTTTACCCAATTTAGGGTCACTGGTCAAAAATGACAGGCCTTTTAAAAAAAAATGCTTGTAAATCTCTTGTTTTCTTTCAATTAGGATTGGTCATGGGCCTTATTGATCTAAGCTTATTCACCTCAGAGTCAGTAAGTTTAGTCCAATGTGTTAACAATAACTAGCATTTTTAGGAAAATGAAAATCTAACGTGGGTCAAAACGACAGGAACACAACATGAGGGTTAAACTGTAATAATAATATATCTAATATATATCTTCAATTTTACAACCAAATGTTGTGCCTGCAAATGCATTTTCATAAAAAAAAGTTGCAGCTTCACAATGACTTTGGGACTTTAAAGGATTAGTTCACTCCAGAATTAAAATTTTCTGATTTCCTGATTCTTTGATTTTACCACCCCCCGGAATATTTTCCTCAAAAACCTTAATTTCTTTTTGACTTAGCTCTTTGTTTGTGTACTCCTGTGGATGACATGGGGGTGAGTAAAGTATCAGGAAATTTGAATTCTGGAGTGAACTAATCCTTTAATGCGCGAGCAGATCTGCAACTTTGTATTGCGTATTAGATGGTTTGCGCTTGAATGCTTAGAAGGGGAACAAAGCCAGTGAGCACTTACTTTTTCTCATCTGACAAGTCAATGTTGGTCCCAAACTTGATGTGCTTAAAGGGACCTCTTCTTCTGCGGACCACACTGAAACAAACACAGGCTCCAGTTAAAGACTATGGTTCTGTCAAAAGTGTTTAAAACCTTTAGACTTTAATTGAACATGGACTTACTTTTCTGATGGAGCAGATTCTGTGTCTGAGTGGTCTTTCTGCCCTTTCTTTTCATTTTCCTCCTGTTAGATACAAAATGCGAAAAAGCAAACATTAGAATCAAAGCACCAATCATGAAGTGTTTCACAGTATCAATAGCATTCAGTGTCTATCTTTGGGTGCTTTTACACTTGGTTTGATTGCTTGGTCCGAACCAGAGTTCAATTGCTTCCCCCGCTGGTTTGTTTTCACACGGATAGTTTTTGGTTCCAAACCACGGTACGTTTGTGTCATCATAGCGGCAGCTGTTCATCCCTTTTGCTAGGTAACAACTATGTAGAAGACGGCAAAATGAATGGATGCTTGCTTGCTTCATTTTTGTACTTTGGAATTTAAAAATGTAGCTTCGTTTCCAAAGCGCCAACACAGCACCACATGCGTCTATTTGTCACGACTAGGGATGTCAATTTTCAATAATTTCCATGATCGATCGTCGTTTAAATTAACGATCAATTAATCGTTAACCTTAATGCTGCCATGAGACGTCTGCCCGACGTGCAGATCATGTCTATATTGCGTCGGTCAGTTCAGGACCGTATCTGTACGTCTAATCGACGTGCAAATCCGGTACGGGATCTGGACGTCAGACTACGATGTCCCTTGGACGTAGATATGCAGTTCAAAATTTGAAGATCTGACGAGGAGTTTTTTTGGACGTCTGTACAACGTGCAAAACAGGTTCAGGAAATCAACGTAAGAACTTTTTATACAAATAAACATGACAAAGCAATCCAGTGAGATTAAAAAAAAAAGTAAAAATCACGTCTATTAATATTTAGGCATTGTTTCTTTTCCTAAATCCTCACCGTCTAACCCTCTAATTTCGCAGGTTTATTTTATTGTCATTCACTTTTTATCACTGTTTTCGCATCTAAGGGAAATGAAAGATTTTATGGCCATGAATTAAGAATTTGTTTGATTTATTAATTTGTTCCCTCATTTTACTTAAATCATGGGTTATTTAAGGAACAAAATTAATGAAACATGGACAGTGGCCACAAATTAATAAGTCGTAGGAATGAATTAACAAGTTGTAGGAATGAATAGCCTATCTGTCCTGTGTCCCGCAGCCCTGCAAAGCGCAGAGCCCGATATGAAAGAATTATCTGGGGAAATGACTTAGTTACTACATTTCTATTGCTTTCCATGTTGAAGAACTTTGTGTTGTTTCTATTTTAATGTACTTTTAAAGTTTAAATCACATTAAAAGCTTAATTTGTACATTATGAATGAATGATGATGCATTTATATACCGTCACCGTCATTCACAGCCGCTCGCACGTGTTTTGCGCATGAGCCGCACGCAGCCCAAAATTAAACGACTTAATCTACCATGATAGCTTTAATCGATTGCACCTCTTATCGACAATTAATCGATCATCGATTAATCGTTGACATCCCTAGTCACAACTGTAATGCAAAGGTTCAAAAGAACACGGTGCGAACAGAAATGAGATCTAAATTCTCTCTGCTGCAGCATGTCACTCACGCTTATCAGGAAAGCGATTGAGTAAACACACATACATATTTTGATCAATTCATAGGTCATTAATAGCAGTTCACTTCCGTGATTTAGTACGACTGCATTCACATCAGAAGCAAACCGTACCGGAGTTCGCATGAACCACACCCCAGACCACCCTTTTAGGCGGACTCGGGTACAGTTCGCAGGTGCGCACCAAAAGTGCTAGTGTGAAATGGCATGACAGTCACACAAAAACATACATACACTCAAACTCCTGGCACGAGGAGGAAATGTGGATTGTTGACATACTGGCCCCACTTCAGAGCGAATGGACAATCAAGAGTGCAAGATTCTAGCCATTATTTTTTGTATGCGTGTTACGACCAAGAAATCTAAAGCCACGTTAAACTGATGCCACTAATGAATTATTCTCTCAACATTTTAGGATTGCATGTTTTTTTCTTTAACGTGTGAATTATGACAACTCACCCGCAACGATTCCTGGAAAGACGAGGCCTGGTACTGAGCGTATCTGGCGATGGTGGTGTGAGACCGGCTGCTCTCAAAACACCACATCTTCCTGCTTCCCGCCCCATCCCAGTTCTCTTTGCAAGCAAGAATTTATCAGTCTTGCTTATTACTAGTCACTAGATAGATTAGCAAATGCATATGAAATTAGCACTGCATAAACAAACAAATAAATAAAACTGTGCATACTATACACTACTATTTAAACAATTTTTTTTTTTATGTCTCTTCTGCTCACCAAGGCTACATTTGCAACTTAAAATAACTTTTCTGTTTTAATATTATTAGTGTCACAAAACATTTCTTATAATTATCAATGTTGAAAACTGTTGTGCCACATATTATTTCTCTGGAAACCTTGGAATATTTTCCCCCCAAGATTCTTTGATTAATATAGAAAGTTCAAAAGAACAGCAATATTAATTTGAAATAGAATTGTTTGCAAACTTACAAACGTCTTAACTGTTACTTTTGATCAATTTAGTGCATCCTTGCTCAATAAAAGTATAAATTTCTAAAAAAAAAAAAAAACATACTGACACCAAACTTTTAAAGGGTACCATATACAGCTACTACTGTATATTGGCAGTGTATTGAAAGCAATCAAAGACCATCTTGAAGAGAACCACACAGCTGTATATTTTACAGACACACCCCTAACAGAGTTAGTAGACAAGTCCCATGACGTTTCCCATCAAAGCCTATAAAATGACAAAATATAATACAATAAAAAATATAATACTAAACAAAAGCAGTAGTTCAACTACCTTTCAAATAATTAACAGCTCCCCCCTGCAAATCTTTTTTTTTTTAGCACAAATCAGTTTCACTCACATAAATACTAGGAGTGGGAGAATTGAGCTTGTCCTTTGGCAGAGGAGGGAAGGGTGCAGGTGGTAACCGTGGAGGGGGACACTTGTCCAGCAAGATGCTGTTACTGGACACACCATTCTTCCCCAGGTTTCTGTAAAATAATTTTCATGAGATATTAATTAGCACATGTCCAGATGGCTATACATAATATAATATAATAAAAACTATAATACATCATTTATATCCAAATCTCATTTTAATAGACTGCATGCTGCGGTGAAGATTGTAATCTCTGATGTATTCTTGTCTACATGACAGGGACACTGAGGGTCAGCACATGTGCTGTTGCTTTCTAGACACAGGTGGAGCCACAAGCCAGATCACTAGAGACAGAGAGACACACTGGCAATGTCCTTCCCCATCAACAGCCATTCCAGTCAAAACAAACAGTTAATAAGACTGTAAGCACTGAGGAAATGTCCCACTTTAACCAACATGCCAGAAGGTCAAAAGTTCAGTAACTAAAATGTCTCTAAATAATTACAGCTGTGAGGCTGGAGCATAGTCATGCTGGTTTTTGTTTGGAAGCGGAACCTTGGTGATTATAAAAACTGACCAGTTTTACTCTGCCTGACATTTTCTGCAGCTTAGTCTCTGTGTTTTTGGGTAGTGTGGTACTTTCGCTGTCATTTTTAATGATGGAATAGCTTTTTTAACATGCTGTGGCATAGAAAATATTTTGCAAGCAAGAATTTATCAGTCTTGCTTATTACTAGTCACTAGATAGATTAGCAAATGCATATGAAATTAGCACTGCATAAACAAACAAATAAATAAAACTGTGCATACTATACACTACTATTTAAACAATTTTTTTTTTTATGTCTCTTCTGCTCACCAAGGCTACATTTGCAACTTAAAATAACTTTTCTGTTTTAATATATTTAGTGTCACAAAACATTTATTATAATTATCAATGTTGAAAACTGTTGTGCCACATATTATTTCTCTGGAAACCTTGGAATATTTTCCCCCCAAGATTCTTTGATTAATATAGAAAGTTCAAAAGAACAGCAATATTAATTTGAAATAGAATTGTTTGCAAACTTACAAACGTCTTAACTGTTACTTTTGATCAATTTAGTGCATCCTTTCTCAATAAAAGTATAAATTTCTTAAAAAAAAAACACTGACACCAAACTTTTAAAGGGTACCATATACAGCTACTACTGTATATTGGCAGTGTATTGAAAGCAATCAAAGACCATCTTGAAGAGAACCACACAGCTGTATATTTTACAGACACACCCCTAACAGAGTTAGTAGACAAGTCCCATGACGTTTCCCATCAAAGCCTATAAAATGACAAAATATAATACAATAAAAAATATAATACTAAACAAAAGCAGTAGTTCAACTACCTTTCAAATAATTAACAGCTCACCACTGCAAATCTTTTTTTTTTAGCACAAATCAAAACAATACATCAAGTCATCAGCCTAAAACATCATTTTACAGCAGATTTAAACCAAATCAACTAGGATGGATTTGTATTACGCCAGAAAAGGTGATGATGTGGTCTGGCTAGATGTAATTACATGCACACAAAAAAAGCTGATAATCCTGTTAAGGTGGCTTAGTATAACCATAACCAAAAAACAGCACAAAATCTGTCAAGAAATCTGTTTGGAATTCTGCACAACTAGGCTCAAATGCATGCAGGAATGAGTAACTTACCTGCATGCTTTCAGCACGTCACTGGAGCTGGGGTAGATGGAGACAGAGGACCACGGGGCAAACGAGGGAGGCATGGGTTTATGACAAACCAGCGGAGATGCCACCTTCAAGGGGCTCTGAGAGTCCTCCAGACCTTTGCCATTGAGCGTGGGGCTGTTAACACTATTCTGAGTGCTGTGATGGTCTGCAGATTTGGGTGAGGGTGTGGCTGTGGACATGGCAGAACACGGGGAGGAGGCCACCGAGTTTTCCTGCACCTTAAGCCCCGGGTGCAGACTTGGGTGAATGTTGTTAACCTTTGTGCCGGCAGCCGTCAATCCACCGCAATTACTATGATTACTATCATTGGCTTTTCCAATCAACAAGGCAGAGAGCTGAGGATTGTCTGAACTAAGTACACCTGGTGAGCAGGGTTTCGCCCCAGCAGCGTCTGCCTGGCCCTGATGGACGTGATTAGGCAGTCCTTCTGCAGTGGCAGTGCTGTTAGGCGTCCCTGCGAAATGCCCATTTCCTGAAGGCTTGCTCTCTTTGGTGTGAACCATGCCTTGCTGTCCACCTGAGGTAGCAGAGTGAGAGGAGCGAGGGGAGGGGATGTGATTGTGACTGGCCTCCGGTGCTAACGTGTCGCTGGCTGTGGCCGAACGTCCGACCTGATTTGGAACGCCAGTGCCGGCTGCCGGGGTAGGCTGGGAAGTCCCAGCGGAAGAGAAAGGCTGCTCGCCATTAGGATCTGCTGAACATGAACCTGGACTCTTCTGAAGCCCCTGCAATAAAGATAAAGTGAAAGGAATACTGGGTTAAGCAGTGAAATACATCTTACATCCTACCTTCATTCAAAACTAGAGAAATATTTATACAGTATATTTATACATAATACAGTAAATATTTATCCATGGCATGTAATATTTTGGCTTTCATCACTATGTTTACCCTTCTTCAGAAAAAAAAAAAAGATCCAAATTTTGAGCTGGAGAAGTTTCTGAAATGTGGATGATTTGCCACAGAAGGACTCTAAAGAACTTCAATATTGTACATAACATGATAATGATCTTATAATGACGAGGACATTATAATCTCACCTGAGTGGAGTTGATGTGTTGGCTTTTCCACGGTTCATCATCCATGCTGCTGCTGGTGGGGGTTGTGCAGTTATGAGGTAGTGCGTTTTGCCGCAAATAAGGCACGTTTATGTTGCTCCCCATTCCTGGGAGGTGATTATTGCCCACAGAGACGGTATCTGTGTTACCCAGGGTTCCAGCCATGCATGGGGCGGGGCTTGCAGGGACAGGTCCATTGGCTATTGGCTGAGCAGCGCATCGTGAGTGGGCGGAGGGAGTGCGGGAAAGAGCAATGTGTGGATGGTGAGAGGAGGATGTGGAATTAGAGTTCATAGGCAGTGAGGGGTCGGCTATAGGACCGTTGGACACACTGGGTCGTATCTGACCCATAGCATTCAGCCTCATCTGTTGGGCAGAGCAAGAGTGATGGCAAACCATCAATATTAAAATCTACCAAAAAGTTTGCAGTCTGCTATGCACCACTTTACACGATCCATACCTGCTGATTCTGTTGCATTAGACTGAGCTGCTTTTCCAACTGTTCCAGCATCTGCAGCTGCACTGGCTTCAGATTAGCCCTGTTGGTCCGTAACTGTTCCAGAAGCTGAGTTAAAAAATAAAATAAAATAAAATACAGAATAGTTTACTTTGGATAGTTCATAAGAATTATGATTTTTTTTTTAAAGAAGTTTCTTAGCCTCTCACCAAGGCTGCACGTATTCTAATAAAAATACAGTAAATCCAGTAATATTGTGAAATACTATTAAAATGTAAAAGAACTGTTATCTGTTTTAATATATTTTAAAATGTAATTTATTCCTGTGATAGCAAAGCTGAACAGTTTACAGATGTAGAAACATCCAGAATGAGCAACCAACCTGAAGCTTCTGTGGGGTTAAACTCCAATTGGGGACTTGATGATGACCTGGAACATTTGCCCAGGAATCAGGTGAATTCTGATGGTGAGACGAGAAACCCGTAAATAATCAAACATCACATGACAGTTGTAATAGATAAAAAAAAAAAAAACTAAAATGCTGTCCTTTAGTACCCTGGCTGGACTAGCAGTCCTCTTCCTTTTGGCTGGGCCGGACTGGTCATCAGTCTGGCCAGAGACCATATGAGGGGGAAGAGACTGGCCTGGGATTTGGGACTGGCCTTCATTGCTCTGATGAGCTTTGCAGGTGTTCTGCTATTGGCAACAAATACAGAATTGCAGCTAGGACAGTTGCATGAACATTTCACTAAAGCAACCCAAATTGTGTTTTTGCACCACTTTGACAATGAAGCATCAGTACTGATACTTTCAGTTTCAAACTGCTCCTTTACACAATAAGCAAAAGGCCAGGTCAAGAGAAAGTTTATGCCAACTTTACCACTCACGATTTTATCAGTTAAATATATGAGAAATATATGCTAGTAGATTTAAACAGTTCCCCAAAATTAGTGACCAATATGTTGAAACAAAGGATGATGTGTGTTGATGAGTGCTATGGTCTAATGAACTAGTGGAAATAACTTTAAACCTTAGCAGTTTAAGTTTATTCTCCAGAAGCAATGTTACTAACACAACATTGTTCTGTATGACTGGAAATTAAGGACCTTTTACTGGTACTTAATCATGAAGGCCTTACCACACAATTTGATGTTTCATTAAAGGAATGTCACAGGTTCGATACAGACTAAGCTAAAAAAAATTAAAAAAGTGGTGATGGGGCTTCTGTTGATTCAAAACAACTGCCTACAAATGTACAGCCATAAACTACCCTTCCAAAGTTTGTGGTCAGCAAGATGTTTTAATGTTTTCAAAAGAAGTCTCTAAAGCTCAACAAAAGTTTCATTTATTTGATACAGTAAAAACAGTAATATAGTAAAACATGGTTACGATATAAAAAAAGTTAATTTTATTATATTATAAAACGTAATAACTTCATTACTTCAGTGTCACGTGATCTTTCAGGAATTATTCTAATATGCTGATATGGTGATCAAGAAACATTTTTGATTATCATCAATGTTGACAGTTGTGCTGCTTAAAATCTTACTGACCCCAAACTTTTAAATGGTAGTGAATATATAATATTTAATAGTTATCTGGCTGTACTGTACAGTAAATATCTTGTTGCAGCCACAACATATACTTTAAAAATAATAATAAATAAAAATTAAGTGACAAGTTTCAATTGTTTTCTGTTGTAAACAAAGCCACAAATGGCGTTAAGCTCAACCTGTACTGAACCCAAAACATTTCTTTAAAACGTCACAATGTCCAAGCTACCACTAACAAATCATTTTTGTGAGTCTAAAACCATTAGATGGTGTAAGAGTGGCTTGTCTAGTGGCTTGTCTACTGGCTTGTCTAGCTGATCTGTTCTCACCTGTTGTGTTGTGTTGAGCGCTCCCTGTCTGGAGGTGAGCTCTGCTGGGATTGGTAGGCTCCATGCCTCCTCAATACTAGGGAGCATTTTACTTTTACTTGGTAAACTACCTTGTGGAAGATTACACAACTGAGCCTAGAAAAAGATTGCGCAGAAAACATGTTCAATGTCGGATTCAGCTAAGCTTAAGTCAATGCAATGGTGGTATGCATGAAATCACAGATGAAAATGACACTCATATCATTCTCAGTGTATAGTATGTCAGACAAGGGGACGTGATTCAACTCAAACAGGAAGGAACTCAAAAACGAACATCTCCCTCCCCCCCACCCCCCCAAA